TATTAAGCTACCACCAGCAGCAAGTTAGCATAGCTTAGCATACAGACAATTACAAGAGACTTTGTTTTTGTACAGATTAAACTAATTATATACAACAGGAAATTAGAGGTACTGGTTCGCAGATCTTATCACCTGCTGCTGTTTTTCTGTTTCCAGTCTTTGTGGTAAGCTAACTGGTTGTTAGCTGTATAGCTTAATATTTTTTTAGATATGAGAGTAATATCAATGTTCAATGGCACATATAACGCCATTTATAAAAATCCACCCCCTGTACAGTTGTCACAAATAGGAAATTTAGTTATAGAGACCAAAACCGTTTTTAGTACCAGGCTGTAAAGGCTGTTTGTTTCTGTTGTTAAGTTGGGTATTTTAATATGAGGCCTTTTGGAGATTGACTCACGTCTGTAGCCGGACTCAAGTGGCCGGTTTAGGAACTGCAATTACTTCCATGTTGGCTTCATTTGCAGCCAGAGGTTGGTGCTTAAATATTTTCTGTCACTGACTGAATTTTTGAAACAAAGATGGAAAATTCTAAAGGCTGTCATTTTGACACATTAACTCTGAGGGTGATCTACTGTAACGTAATTACAATAACTCACATGTCAATAACCGCATGTAGATCACCTGTAGTCGACCTCCTGTTTAGTTAGTGCATATTAATTAGCTATTGTCTAGTGGTCTTGTCTTTGATCTCACACACATGACCTTATTGTCTAGCTGACTTAAGCCATTGCATTGGTAGGCTATATCACTACATAGCTTAGCTGTTGAAAAATGTCCAGTCTTCCAGTCTTTATGCTAGTCTAATAAGCTAAATGTAGTGCCCAAAATTTTGCACTACCAGTGTTTACGTAATTTTTCTATCCCCAGATGTCAAGTATGTATCATGTAGCCTTCTAATCATTTACTCCCATGAATCCAATGAACTGAGATGTGTGATTACATGATGTTTTGATTGTTAACGTGCTAACACTGCCTACCTGAGCAGCGTGTGTTCGTAACGTCTTGCTTTTTATTTTTGGGCACCCATGTTAACAGATTAGTCGCATGTTTCAATGTATTTCTATTTTATGGTATTTATCAAAAGCTAACTCAGTGTAGAAAGATAGGGCTAACAGCAGAAGCTCCGCAGCTGACACGCTGTCGGTGTGAACATTGCACGCGTGCCAGACGCAGCTGTTTCCCGCCATAGCCGTCACATGCTGCTCAGGTAGGCAGTGTGAACCAGGGCTTAGGTCTGTCACTTGCTTTCCTGCTCTCTCATGTTTCTTACCACTGGGTCAGCTGTGGTGCACGTGCAGCGGGAACTGCAAACCTGATAGGAAACGCACACAATTACACAACAGTTGGGGAGTTTTCTGTGCTGAATTTGGATTTAACCTGAATTGAACCCTGTTGTGTCCCATTATCCAGCTGGAGAAAGTCTTTTAGTAACTATATTCAGTCTACTAGTTATAGATACGGGTTAAGGTCAGATTTAATAATGACTGCCATGTGTTTGTTTAAAATGCTGATGACGTTGGTCACAACTTGTGGTGGTCTGATCTCCGTCCATGTTCCTCCATCCAGGGCTCTCTAACCTCTGTCTCACTGTGCAGCTCTGCTTTCACAGCTGCTCAAGTTTCCGACTGTCAGGCCAGCCATGCTGCGACAGTTTTCACTACATGTCCCCAAATTCACCGCTGCGGGGGAGGAGGCTGTTGAGGAGGAGGGGGAGGGGAAGAAAACCTAGCCAGTCTGTTGTCACCAGAGGTAGTGGTGATAGACAGTGCTAAAGGGCCTCCAAAGCAAAAGAGAATGCATTCATGTGATGAGATTAGAGTTAACGCAACCAAGGATGGTGCTTCATTTGCTGGCTGAACTTAAGATATCTGATTAAGTCTAGAGCCTCTGATTGAATTGCAGTTCAGATGCCTCTTTATTTACGATGAATAGTGTGTTGTGTGATGAAAAGGGCAAAGTGAGATTATAGCGTGTCCTAATACTACACTTGCGTTTCTGGACGTTTTTTAAAAGGAGCCACAAACTGTGCTCTTTGTTTGTGTGCTATACATAAGCTTGACCTGCCTGTTGTTATGTAACAGCCTGGTATGGAGCCCCACCCCCGCCTCTTCTCCACACACCAGATTGCCTGAGTTTAGACTCCTGCTGCCATGGAAACGAGCCTTTAGGCGTAATGTTTTTTCTTCATGAGTCCTTTTCTTTGTCCACTTTATCTGCCCAGGTTATCTTATCTGAAATATCCTCCTTTTATCCTCGTATTGTTGCCAAAGTGGTGCATTCAAACACTTCACACACTCCTCTGTACAGACAATGATGAGGTCAGATAACATAGGAGAAGCCGAGAAGGAGCTACACTTGCAAAAGGAACATTTCAATAGGTTGTGCAACAGTAAATATGCAGTAGAATACATGCACATATTAAAAAAAGCCTTTCAATTGGACGTCCACATTCTCAGGCACCACTACACACAGCACATCATCTTCAGATAATCTCACTCAGTTGTTTATAGTAAAAGTGACTGTCCTCTTATTTTGTCTCTCCAAAAAAATGCCACTGGCTGAATAAATATCTGTGGGGTTTTTTTGTCCTATGCATTTATGTGCAGTAATATTTCCTGAGCTTGTGGACATGATTTAAGGAGACCAATGCAATATGATTTGGACATCTTTGTTTGGCAGTAAACTCTGAGCCAAATTGAATTTGGTGTGTTCTCAGACTGCTGTCAAATACATTGCTACAAGCAAATACCATTGCACGCACTGCTGTGACAGTTTATTTAAGGCCATGCTAAACCAAGAAGAAAGAAATATAGAAATGTACTAGAACTGATAGTACCTTTATGTAGTGGCGCCCCCAGAACACTCTCATAGGGGTGGCCAGATGGGGCCACTGAAAATGTGTCAAAAGATATTTGATATTGGATATTTGTTTTTTCAAACAAATAAAAAATGACATCAATATATATTGATTAAATACACTGATGTAATTTTAAATCAACATAAATCTATTTAACTGAATAGTACCTAATGTAAAATATCAGATAGCAGCATATCATGCATACAGTACTCGTCACAGAGAGGCATATTATGCATAAGGAGAGGGGGAGGGGGGTCAGCTGTTGAATAAGGGGCATCCCCCCCTTGTTGGCTCCCCTGCCTTTATGGAAAAAAACCTAACAAAGTTTGTCTGACCAGACTTGGTGCATTACTGGGATTGAAGCAAAATAACAGAACTTGGTTGCAAACTGGACATCTTACCTGTGTAAAAACCCCACATATGTACTACTAGAGTAGGTATGTTTTACACCAGGTTTAATAGAGTATAGCGCAGTAAGTTCGTGGTCATGGTATCATTTTGTACAGATCAATGAGTGAAGCATGGCACGAAGCTAATACCGGGGACACCCAAGCTTACAATGTTTTCCCTTAGAGCACTAAATACTTTACGAATATAAGGACCTCCCCTTTAATTTATTGTCCGTCTGTTTGCTACTTCTTAGTTCTTGTTTGTCCCCCACATACATCTCTACATACTTAATTTATGTTAACATGGTTCCTGATGAACCTGAGACCACGCCCCTTCCTTCACCGACTACTTTCATTTACTTAACTACTTTTAGTCTACTCTTATGCTCTTACAACAAGAATGCAGCCTTACAGGATGAAAGCGGACACAATGTTATCTGTGATGAATTATCAAACTCAAGCATGTTTCAAATCTTTGCAAACTGATTTTCATGCTAGAGTGAACTAAAGAGCTGCCTGGAAGGTCGGAAAAGTACATTCAAATATCTACAACACTACAGCATGACCTGAGAAATTATTCGCAGGAATGCAACATTTTTTGAATTTGCAGTGATATGGTTATTACATGCAGAAGGGTTTACACATCAAAGGTCCTTTAAAGTGGGGAAACTTTTTTTCAATGGAAGTTCGCTTTTTCAATAAATGAAACTCCTTTAAGATTGCTGGGCGCACTAAATGCGTTTAAAATTCCATTGTCTGCGAGCATTTGAGTCTTATTTTGGCAAGAAAACATTGTTGGGCCTGAAAGTGAGGAATGACTCACCCCTATCAGCCTAGTACATATTGTGTGTTTACTCTGACTAACCTGTTTTCAGATTAAGTTTGTAGCGATAGTTATGAAACGAGAGGCACTGTATGACATGAAACAAGGTACAAATCAAGGGAAACCAAAGGCAAGGGAAACCAAAGGCAGTCATGACACTGCACAAGACAGTGTAAGATACAATAAAAACAACATGGTAAGCAGTTTTAATGGAGGATACAGTACAGTATGCATGTGCCCTTTAATCTGATTTTGAATGTTAATAATCAGCTGTGCATTCAATTGCTAATAAAAGACATTCTTATGTAATTGTGACAACATTTTACTCCAATTATTAAATGGTATTAGTCACCTAAAGTTGTTTAAGTAACTAATGCGATGTAGTGAGTTATACAATAGTCTGTACAACTGCACAAACTGAACTCAGGTCTGCAGATTTTTGAAAGGAGCTCCCATCCTGTATTTACTTTCCTGGCCTACTTTGAGAACTAGTCCATAGGTTATCGAGGTTTGTGTGAAAACAACATACCAGAAAGACAGTTACAGACTTTATTTTTGCTGTGACGTGTAGCACATATAGGCAAGCCTTGAGTAATCAGCAAAAGCGCTCATGTAGATGTTGTAACTGCCTTTACAGTGAATGATAAATCTGTCGAAACTCCTTCAGAGCTTTCACATCATGTTGATTTTCTAGTAAAGGCAGCTGCACGGTTTGTTTAGCTGTTCAAATAAGTAGGAGGATGTGGATGTTCCTGCTTTATTAACCACCACTTGTTAGACATTACAGTGAATTTTCCCTTAACGCTGGTCACGTTTCAGAGATTAATGTCAGCTGATATCTGGATGTGACAAATGGGTTTTTGTCAGAATATAACTCGAGGCAAAACACAACACACGTGGGGTTAAACTGGAGTCAGAAGTCATAATGTAAAAATGTTAGCTGTTTATTAAAGTTTTTCTGCACGTGACAACCACAAGTGAAAAAACAGACATGCATTATTAAAAAAGAAAACCATAAAAAAGTAGGCTTACATGACCTTACATATCCACAACATGATAAAACCACCATTGTGACATTGAGACAAGGCTGCTTAACACATTCAAATGCCTTTGGGATCCTTTGGGTCAGAGTCAAGATCGACAGCAAAATCCTGCTGCACTTTTTTTGCATTTTTCATTAGTACAAAGTTAAACACATTACAACAATGTAATTCTATACAAATCATCAGCTACCATGACACAGTGACTAAATGCATTGGCAAAAAGGCAGTGTTTGTGCCAGAGATAAAGACCATACAACTGAATGCACAAAGAATGCAGGAATACCTCAGTTATTATTTCATCTGTCAAGTAAAAAAAATTCAAAAAGGTAAAGATCAATCCATCCATAAAGTCTTGAAATAGACATGGCTAAATACAGTACTGGTAGTGACACTTGGTCTTACACTGTTCATTTGCTGTAATCTGTGGGCTGCTCTCCCTCTTCTTTGAGTAAACATGTGCGCACCAGGGCCTCTGTGACAATGTATGGGTTGCAGTTGGCGGACGGACGGCGGTCCTCGAAGTAGCCCTTTTTGTCCTGCCCCACTGCGCGAGGGATGCGGATGCTGGCGCCACGATTGGCCACGCCAGCCGAGAACTCGTCGATGTTTGAGGTTTCGTGGTGACCGGTGAGGCGCCTGGCGTTGTCGAGCCCACCTTTGGGATCATAGGCCCGGATGTGGTACCTGTGTCTCTTTGCCAGCCTTTCGATCGACTCCTCGATCACTCTGTGAAGAAAAGAGAGAATTAGGAACCCACTCAAATCCAGAACAATACCAGTTAGACATTACTTAATAAACCAAAACGCTGAAACAAATTCTTACTTCAGTCCGCCGTCTTCTCGCATCTCCTTTGTGCTGAAGTTGGTGTGGCAGCCGGCGCCGTTCCAGTTCCCTGGGATTGGTTTGGGGTCAAAGGACGCGATCACACCGAAATCTTCACACACTCTGTGAAGGATGAAGCGAGCAACCCACAGATGGTCCCCCATGTTGATACCTTCACATGGCCCAACCTGAAACTCCCACTGAAACACAACAGAGACAGCATTATTAAGTGATTATTAAGTTAACTTCAAAATGCCCTGTGGGACAACAGATAAATAAAAAGACAATACCTGAGCTGGCATGACTTCAGCATTGGTGCCACAGATCTGAACCCCAGCGTACAGACAGGCTCTGTAGTGCGCCTCCACTACGTCTCGCCCGTACGCCTTATCTGCTCCCACTCCGCAGTAATAAGGCCCTAATCAGGTGGAAAGAGACTAAACATTACCACCCAGCCTTGCTTTAGGATTGCTGAAGTATTATATTTCAGTAAACAATGAGACAAGCTAAAAACCCGATACTCACCCTGTGGACCTGGGAAGCCGTTGGAGGGCCAGCCGAAGGGATGTCCATCTGTTCCCAGGAGAGTGTACTCCTGCTCCATGCCGAACCACGGATGGTTATTCTCCACCATGCTCATGATCTGTTTACAGGTGTGTCGCAGGTTGGTCTCTGTGGGAACAACGGCGGGGATTAGCTGAAATACAAGATGGCTCTAACTGTGATGACTTTCCGGTTTGTTCCTTTTTTCTTACCTGCTGGCTTGCGGTTGTACTTGAGCACCTCACAGAGCACCAGCTTGTTGGGGTCTTTCCTGAACGGGTCCCTGAACATGGCCGCAGGGATCAGGAACATGTCGCTGTTGGAGCCCTCTGACTGGTCGGTGCTGGAGCCATCGAAGTTCCACTCGGGAAGATCTGACACAGAAAGGCAACAGAAATCAACGATCTGCTTCAAATTCTTAAACAAATACCCTCAACCATGTTTTACTGCGTGCATTCGCGGATGCTGTCGCTGTCGCTTACCCTCGATCGCCTTGGGTTCAAAATCCAAAGTTCTGGTCTTGCAGCGCACTCCCTCTCCTGACCCATCTATCCAGATGTACATAGCTTGGACCATGTCCCCCTGAGGGAGATCCATGTACTGCTGTTTAACAGCTTTGTTCAGTTTTGAACTTGTTGAGGTGGCCATTTTCCTGACCCCCAAAGCCTACAGAGGGAAGAGGGCAGATGATAAGACTCACACAGAAGAGCCACTGTATCTGAATGCACACATAAAATGGAGAACACAACCAGAGGGGGTGTAATGAAAGAGAACATAAGGCCTGGCACTAAAAAGTTCAATGTTATTGACAAGGAAAATCTCCAATAACTACATTATTATAGAACATTATCCAACAGCACCATCAGTGATTCAGCCTACAAGCTGTCTAATCATCTGTTTCACTCTGACTCACATGGGTGGTAATAATAATAAAAGCCCAAGAACACAAACACATTGCGACAAACATATTCCACAGCATTTATATTAGAGTAAAACCAACATCTAAACATTGAAATAACAGATAAAACTAAACAGAAATAATTAAATTCCGCCCTGTAGAAATGAATGCAAACATGAAAAAGGTGTAGCCTTACCTTATGTTAAGTGTAGAAAAATATCAAGAGATTAAAAGACTCTCTAGATGTGTGGTCGACGTGAAGGTTTCTATTGTTTTTCATTCCTGCTCTCCTCACCGCGGCCACGTTGGATTTATAGCGCTGCAGAGCACCTCCGCCGCCTCTGATTGGTCCCACAGAAAACGTGACCCCTCCGCGACGAGGAGGAGAGCCGCCCGGCCGCTGTGGTGCATAACAAAGGGAGAGCCACACGGAGAGCATTTAAATAAAAAAAAAAGTTTTACTTTCATTCACATATGCAAAGGATGAAAAACAGAGAGAGCGTGTCAAACAGGATTTCAAAAGACACGCACACACACACACACACACACACACACACGGAGAGAGACGATCACACGGAGAGAGAGATAGAGAGAGAGAGAGAGAGAGAGAGAAAGAGAGAGAGAAAGAGAAAGAGAGAGAGACTGGTAAACAAGTCATGCGCCCTCTAGTGGCGATAAACAGGAAACACAGAACAGTTTGTTCCCAGAGAGTTCAAATCACTTGTAAACAATATTCAGTGCTCCAATAGAAGTTAGTCATATATGCTTAGGGTGCTCTACATGAAATGTGTGATTTGGTTCAAGGTACTTTGCTCATTAAATTCATGCAGCATCTCAGATAGTTTTACTCCACTAAACAGCTTTAGTTTTCACATTGTTCTTTCTTTATATCCTTCCCTTCCAGTGAAAGACATGTGTCCCCAATTAAAAAAATAAACAGAAAGATTAAGTATTCCTACGTCTTAAGCTAAATAAATACATTTTAAAACCCCTCTTGGAATAGCTGAAAAATGCTCCATCACAAAGCTGAAGCTGTTATGTTGACTTCTTGAAGATATGTGATTCTCATATACAGCCACACTACAATGCGATGATACGATGATGAACAGTAAGTAGTAGTTCAAATTAGCTCAACCGTAAACATCTACAGCAGTAAAATGCCACATACACATTAATGCAGCAATAATATTAATCCAAAAACATCAGATATAATAGAAAACATTTTACTGTGCAATGAGTACTTTTTATACTTTGAGTACATTTTGCTATATAGCTTAATTTTACTTGGGGTAAGTAAGGTTTTGAATGCAGGGCTTTTACTTGTAGTGGAGTATTTTCTCAGTGTGGTATTAGTACCGTACTTCTCCACCCCTGATTGTACCATATTATACTGAGCTGCAATATGGTTTAACTGCATTGAGCATGAGCATGTACACTCAGCTTTAAATATAATGATAATATAATAATGTACTTGCTTAGCTTCATTGAACTCTTGAGTTGTGTAGCCAAATGAATAAAAAAAAGTCTCAATATCTCAGATGAGGTGTTGAAATGACTATTGGTTAAAACAGAGGATAAAGTAGAGTGAATCTCTATCATATATTACTATAGTAAGCTGTAAATATTAATTTAGGCTATCTGTCAGATTTACATAAACCAAACTGACTGTGAAATATCACTTTAAACCTGAAAGAATCCACACAAGTGCTGTGGCAAATTATAAGATAACAGATAATGCATAAAGCAAATGTTTGTATACTATAATATTTACCTCATAAACACAAAAGGAGAAAAAAAAAGTATTAAGTTGCAGAAAATGGAAATACTCAAGTGAAATACATGCACATGCATGAAATATGCTTGTAAAGTAGAATAAATGCACAGCAACCACGCTTGAACAGGTAGTTCTGAAGTGAACTTGTCCAGTTATATTTGCCAGATTACACGGAAAGGAAGGAAACTTGGCTGACTTTTCTATTAGAGATTTCTACCCGTAAGCAGACAACTGGATCAAACAAGTTTGTCCACTTTGGAGCTGTTTGAACAACAGCAACTCTGTAAGCTGATAGGAAGATGCATAGTCAGTGAACAGATATAATCCTTAAATTGTTTGTCTTGCATGGCAAAAGCGAGAGGTTATGAAAGATGGCACATGACTTTTAAGATATGTTTTCACTTGTCTCCCTACACAGCAACACAATGATTAATCTATTGCCCAAGGATTGTTAAGCAGGACATATCTGATGTTTGAACTCAAGTGTTCAGGGTGTTATAATGTGCTGAGGTCACAGAGTCGATGTGTTTAGTGGTTTTCTCTTTGACAATGACAAGCTGGGACAGATACAAGGTGAGGACACAAGCCTATGAAAGCAAATAAATTCCATTATAATTTGAATGTTTCAGCCACTGGTTCTTAAACTATGGTACATGTATGGTGCTATGTAAGCACCCTCTAGTGGTACAGTGAGGGATAGAAATAGTTTTTAAAATTGAAATAAAGTAATTTAAAAACATTTACCACTATCAAAATACAACACAATTTTAAATGAAAATAGCTGAGATAGCTGAAATGTACAATCATTTGAATTGAAGCATTTTCTGTAATATTTTGTTTTAATATCAGCCTGCTACATAATCAAGTTCATGCTTGTAGCTTAAAGGTTAAAAAAAACAATGTAATCGTAGCTCCAAATGAGAACTATCAGGAAGAGAAGTGTGGAGCATCAAATTAACTTTGGTTCTTTAACCGGCTCCAAGTTGAGACATTTTGTAACCCTGACTTTAACAGTTCACTGGGGTTCATAAATTCATACAAAACATTTCAAATGGCCAATAAAAATAAATAAATAAAAAGGTGCAAAAACCGGATTGGTGAAATTCAGATGTCAAATTTTTAGACCAAAAATTAGTTGTGTGGTTGGTAATTAGAGCAAGACTATTAATATATTTAGTTTGAGAATGTAAATGTGTGTTCAGCGTAACACAAAAACAATTTTCAATTAAAAACATGTGCACCTAATCTGTGTAAGGCCTCTTTAATTTTTTGCTTTGGGAGTGTAGCCAGACGGTGGGGGAGTATAATGCCATGGCACTTTGCTAAATTGGACAAGCTCACATACAGGGAGACAGATTTAGGCTGGGAGAAGAGGATTGAGTACCCGGGAGAAGAGGATTGAGTACCTGGCAGTCGTGCCATGGAGAAAACAGCCCAGAGGGCAGATGTCCAGATACTGAGAAGCAGCTAGACTTTTAAAGCTAGTGCTGCGTACAGCCAAAAAGAAAGGACAAACTTTAACAAAGGAACAATATGACTGATTTTAAAAACAAAGCAAGCAAGTAAACAACTTAATTGTAAACATGTGATTAGAAGGTCTGAGATGCCACACATGTCAAACAATTTCACTATTTTCACAGTGAGGACACATATGCTGCCAAGTGTGCGTCCTTTGCCATTTGTTGATCGGAGACCTCAGTGCAGTTGCTGACCCTTTGGCAGGAGCTCCCAAAGCGTTCGCACAGGCTATCGCAAAGGGGTTCATCATTCATTCATAACTAGTCCAATCAAAGGTACATACTTAATGACATAATTATCTAAAACTATAAAACCTTTCAATCCCCTTATACCAGAAATTCACTGGACAATGTCCTCTCCGCTCTATCATTAGTAACAAAAGATCTGTGGTCAGAGAGTGACATCTAGTGGCTGAAATGCAGACAATCCTTTCCCTTGTGCACTGTTGAGCAGTCGCTAAAAATATATCTGCGTGCATTCACCATGTTTCCATATTGTGAAACCTTTTTACAACTTAATATATAATCTGACTGTTATATTATTCTAATTTATCACCCAGTTGTCTGTTGAGCAGTTGCTGAGTAGGTCCACATGTTGACGGGACAACAGAACAGCAAATAAGGAATCCTTACACAGCTCAGTGTTCAAAAGACTCATAGAAGGCAGAATACAATTTCTTTAAGGCGTTTATTAGATCATTTACTGGTAGAGAGCCAACCTGCAATGTGATGTGACTGCATTTCACCTATAAAGGCATCTGAGAGACCCAGAGGACACTGATTGAAGGAATTCAGCTGGTATTCTGTTCTAGTGAGTCTATAGGATATCAAACAGTGCATACATACTTTGCAAATCTGGATTTAATTGTTCGTGCACTGTTGAGTTGTTCTTTGCTAACCAACCTGAACTGTTTTTTGACTGGGCACAAATGGGGCACTGACTTATGCAGGGGTTGGCATTAGGTATGTGTCTCAGCTTTCCATCATTTCCCAATTTATACAATTCCAGTACAGTTTAAGGACCCCAGTATGCAGAAATATTCAAACATAGTAGGCGAAAATGTTTACTTTTATACCATGAGCAAAACACTGCATAGTTCTTGCCCAAAGCTGAACGGGATTAGCATAAAGTGGGAATGTCTGCAAAGGGGAGAATTATGGGTACCCATAGAACCCATTTTCACCCCCTCAATTTTAAGTGTTTAGGTAATTCAGTTTACATCACGAAATTGGAACATCACAAAATGTAGTCCCTTATAAGGCTGCACAAGCGTTTTTGACACACCACTTTTAGAAAGGCCCTAGGTGACAATGTAAAAAAACAACATAGTGTCTTAATATCGTGTTGTTCCGGTGCAAGCACCCAGAATAGCTTCAGTGCTCCTTGTCATAGATTCTTCTAGTGTGTCTGAATGAATTAATTCAAGTTTTTTAATTAATTTGTCTCCTACATGACAGC